TCTTGAATTTATTGTGAGGCGACACTTTGAGGGCGGATGTCGTGGAAGCCTATATTATTAACTTCACTTCTTCATTCATCAAATCAAAGTCTATACCTTGAACCAAAAATTGGGAGAAAGAGATTGAGTTTTTTCTTCTTTACATCACTTTTGAAATTCAGCTTTTAACTTCTCGAATACGTTTACGCATCTTACTGTTCTGCATTTCAGCGCGGTGAAACTAGTGTTGCAAATGTTCATTATTCACACTAAAAAATTTACCGAAGTATCCGGTGAAACGAATGATTCATGAAGAAATACGTATTTTCAGCAAGCGTACGACATGCGACAGAAGCGCAATACGAATTTAAATATCACCTTGCAGTTGTTAACTTCTCGAATACGTTTACATTACTTCCTCTTCTGTATTTGAGCACGGTTAAAGGCGTTCTTCGTTCATAGTATATTTTCACTAAGGCATCTACTGATACGTATAATTCGTAAAGAAATACGTATTTTCAACACGCGTACGACATGCGTCAGAAGCGCAATACGAATTTAACGCTATAAATTCACCAGCAGTTTACAGCCGAGACAGTAGCTTACCTAACAAGAGCAACGACGGTCCTTCTACACGTATATCTCTTAAGAAAAGAAATCGCTAAAGCCTTTTCCCAATCTTTATCTCCTAATCAATATGGAGTGGAATTACTTGGACCATGGCGATGATACTAGCCAGAGCGCTGGAATTCGCCATTCGACACAAGTTTTTGAGAAATACAGTGATGAGACCTATGTTCACAGACGACGGTTACAGTCAAGATTTGTCCTTTTACGGTAGTGGTCAAGAAGCACAAAAAGAGATGTTCGGAGAGAAATAATGAACAAAGATCCATATTTGGATTGACCTCCGACCAAGATATTCTCTTTGAAAAGGAACAGGATACACAGAATATGTTCACAGATTACTGTGAAGAAACGAACGTGGTTAGAAGTCTTCATGAAACTCATGCAACTGGAGGCGTTCATGCTATAGACTGGAACACGACGTCTACAGTGAGTAACCGAGATAACATCGACATGTCCTACGACGACCATCAGTGTCACTACCTCATCAGCTCGGCTGGTGGTGGCGCCTATGTCACTGTCAATGATGGCCAACGCTTGACTCAGGATGGTGTCACCTCGGCTGGGAACGAAGGAATCGTGAACAGTGTGCCTACAAGAAGTAAAAGCAAGGAAAGGATGTACGCACGAAGGTTGGGTAACTGCCCTGACGAAAACCAACGAATCCGCAATGCCTCCAGAGCGCATATGAACAGAGTGAAGAAGGCGAATGAGATGAAGCAAATGGAAGCGGACACAGCGAAGGTGCGACGGCAGATTGCCTTCTCAAGCAGATGAAGGAGAGGCAGGAGGCGACCAACGAGTGGCTGGAATACGAACTGCATCTACGGAGTGCAAACAAATAATTTTCTAAATAGACCTACATCTTTTTCACTATATTGTGCATAAATATACCCTGTGAATCATCAAAATTAACCTCCATACATCATTGTATATTTAACTTCATTGTACATTATTTATTTCATATACTTAATTATATACATATATAAGTGTGTGCGTCTGTGAGAGCGAATGTGTGGTTGCACGCAGAAACTGATGTATGTAAATGCTGTGAACAGATTTATTCTAAAAACTGTAATAAACATATAAAAGTTTCCTTTAATTTCTCTAACCGTCAATAACATACAAAAGGGTTATTTGATTGATCTTACTCTGATTTACTACAATGCTGAATCTATGTCCATGAGAAATTCGCTTTCAAAATGAGGCGTTACCATCCACATTTTGATCAACTCCAAAAGATGAAACGAATATCAATTTTCTGGATTCGTTTTTGGAATTGCATGACTAATAAAGATAGTAACAGTGATAATTAAAAGAATGAACAATGAAGATAATGGTTATATCACGTGTTGATGATAACAGCATCACAAAGAAGGGGTACTACTGACAACAGAAACAGTAACTCATCACGATTGTGATATCGATATCTTAAATATGAAATCAGTTTGTAAAGATAATAATACTATTCTTGAATCATGATAGAAATGAAAGCGGTTATCAACAATGAAATAAAGATTGCATGAGATTATATGAATAAGAGATAAAGAAGAACGATGAAGAATAATATCAAGTATGAAAACTGTATTCGTAATAAGAAAACATCAAATGCATTCCCTCGCAGTCAATCACTTTTTATATTTGTCGTTGATATAAAGATAATTATTATTGTTGTCACTACTACCATAAGAATGACAGTTACCTTCACCATCATGGTCATTACTGCAAGGAAATAGATTTCCGTTATTATCATCATCATCACGGTAATGTTAACATGTTCATATTATTATTATTGTTAATGTTATCATTGATGTTAATCTTTCTCGGTACTGTTATTGCTGTTCCTTTTATTATCAGAATTAATTTCATGATTACCACGGCAGATGATTGCCCGATGCTGCATCTGTGTCTGACACGGAACATAGTTATAGTTTCTCTGATTTGCACAGTTTTCGCACCAATTTTGCCTTACGGACAGTGATGCAAGAAGTTGAAGGTGGAATTCATTTTTAAGAAAACGAAAATAATAATAATCCAGTAGTGAACAGGGAAGCTAGTAATATCCACGATTCGACCAAGCAGAAAGTGGGAAAGAGAGCAAATGGATGAATAAATGGATGAAGGGAAGGAAGCAATACGGGGAAAGAGAGCGTGAAGAACGAATGAGAAAGAATATTTGTTAAGGAAAGAGAAAGAAAAAGCAGGAACGGGAATGGATGAATGACATGAGAGTGATTAAATTAATGGAGGAGGTAAAAAGGAACTTATCTAAAGAAAATAAAAAAATACATATTGTAGAGGCTTGCTTAAGAGGGAAGCTCAAGACGGGTCGAAGATGGAGCGCTTCTGTGACGTCATCAAGGCGTCTCGCGCTTTTCATGAAACGAATTTAATACGGATATTGTTAAAACTAATCTTATTAACTTCATTTATTCTTTTCATCATATGGTACCAGTCAATATTTTTTACCAAAAATAGAAAGACTTTTTTTTGTGTATGTGTGCATCACCTTTCCAGTTGAGATATTGACTTCTCGAATACGTTTACGTTACTTCTTGTTCTGTATTTCAATTCGGTGAAACTAGTGTTATAAACGTTTATCGTTTACAATACATTTTACCGAGATATCTACTAAAACGAATGATTCGTAAAGAAATGCGTATTTTCAGAAAGCGTAAGATAAGAGACAGAAGAGCAATACGAATTTAACGTTATAAATTCATTAGCAGTTTACAGCTGAGACAGTAACTTAGCTAAGAAGAGCAACGACGGTCCTTCTATATGTATATTTCTTGAGAAAAGAAATCGCTAAAGCCCTTTCCTAATCTTTATCTAATCAACATGGAGTGGAATTACTTGGACCATGGCGATGTCAGCAGACAATCCGCTGGTATTCGCCATTCTGAGAAATACAGTGATGAGAAATCTATGTTCACAGGCGAAGACTACGGTAGTGGTCAAGAAGCCCAAGACATGTTCGGAGGAGAAATAAGTGAACAAAGATTTATATGTTCGGATGGAACAACGACCAGTATATTATCATAGAAAATGATCAGGATAACCGAGATAACATGTCCTACGACGACCATCAGTGTCACTACCTCATCAGCACGACTGCTGGTGTCAGGATAGTGTCACCTCGGCTAGGAACGATGGAATCGTGAACAGTGTGCCTACAAGAAGTAAAAGCAAGGAAAGGATGTACGCACGAAGGTTGGGTAACTGCCCTGACGAAAACCAACAAATCTGCAATGCCTCCAGAGCGCATATGAACAGAGTGAAGAAGGCGAATGAGATGAAACTGTAGTGGACGTGATGTACCCCCAC